TGTTTTATCCCTCTTCTTCTCTATCTTCTAATGGTAAACTACTCAACATGTCTTCTGCTTCACTGAGAACCGAAAGTCTTCCATTTAACATCTGGCTAAAAGTCTACATAATTTTTTTAGTCAAATGATTGCCTGATGTTTAAACATTGTGGATTTTATATATTGCTTGAGCAAGTTTTTTTTTTCTGTCTACTGACCACAATCAAAACGTATGCTTTTCTAACAGCCAATATTTTCTTCAAAATCTTTGTGTAACAAAGAAATTGTTGTCTGAAATTCTAAAAAAAACACTGTTATTATTTCATTAATTATTCAAACTATTACCCACTATGTCAGAAACCATACATGATTTAACATGTATTGATAATCTCCTGTGAATTCCAACAAATAAAAGCCAATTACTACAGAGCAGAAAACCTAAAGAAATTGTTTGAAAATACAGAATCAAATAAGATTTTGCAGTTCATAAAGGAGATTAACCTCTAGAATAGAATATAAGTTTACAATCTGTTTCTGCAAGGTTTACACTCAGAAAAGTCTTGCAATATATTTTAAAGGAAAAAGTTTATTACAATTTATCATCATTGTATCTGGAAAAATCATTCATATTTATATCCAAAATTGTTAATACAATATTCATTTGCAAAAAAAAAAATTCTTATTCAAAATATGAGCAAAGTTTGATCTTTCATGCCTGCAAAAAAAAAAAAAAAAATTGTATTTCAAAAAGACAGATTTTCTTTTACACTGCTATTAGTGTATACAACCAAGACTCCTTCAGTAATGTATATTTAAAATATTACAAAAAATATTTGAACCAAGTGATATTTATTATTTTATAAAGGAATAAATTTAAAAAATCTTTTTATTCAAAAATTGATAAGAACCTACAAAATTATCAAAATATGTGAACCAACTACAATGCAATATTCATTATTTACCATTTTATAAATAAATAAAACAGGTTTTTTGCTCATAATTTTATGAAAATATCTATGAACTATAGAACAATAAAATTTGAAGAAACAGATAATTTTCATATAAGATTATACATTTTCTTCTCAGATTATTTTATATCTCAGATTACATCTCGTTTTAATTTTTCATTATTTTTATAATTGTGATCTAGGATCAAGGATGCCACATCAACAGAAAATCCAGCAATTATAGGTCACCCCCACCATCTTCCTACTCTTTTTTGAAAAACAATTTTTAAATTTTTTACATCATCTCTAATTTTTCTAAAAGTGCCTGGAAAATCTGCCAATAGATTATTTGTCAGCTAAGTGCTGACTAATGAAAAAAAATCTTAAATGAAGAGTGGACACAAAGCACCTTGACTAAAGCAATTTGCAAACTGGCAAATTGTGTTCTCTGGAATGGTTGGGAAAACATTGGTTAATTACTGACTGATTCCAATTTTATAAAAGGGTAAATAATAAAGATTTCATTATAGGAGGTGCATATTATTATAAATTTATGAATAATATATTGTTTTCATATTTATTTCTTTATTAATTGGTAAATGATAAACATTGCACTTTGTTAGTTGATTTGAGTATCTTCATAATGTTGTACATATAAAATTATTCTTGTAAATAAACAATCTAATAGCGTTTAATATTTTTGTTGTAAATTCTCAAGAACAAAGAAAATGTATAAATCCAATTTCATTTATTTTAATATTCTAATTATTGTTTTTTAAAACAATAAACATTGCTGAAAGAGAGAATGTAGTTGAAATAATAGTGCAGTCATTAGAAAACCTTCCTTTTGATAATATATATATATATATATGTATTGTGCGGCACAAAAGTCCAAGTTTGCCTTCATTTTTTTCTTTTCCCTCTTTTATTTGGCACCTGAGAGTATAGTGTGGTTTTCATGTTACCTGGACCTAAATATCATTGTGCTTTTTAACCAGCATGTCACAGAATATTTAGGGGTGCTGTAAAATTTTGAATGAAAAAGAAAAAAAAGACATGGTCCTTATTCCAGAAAAAAGGATTAGCTGAATGAAAGTAAGTAAACACATTTAGCATAGCAGTCTCTTGAAAGTTAACCTTTGCTAAAATACGTTTTCGCTTTAAGTGACCCACAAAGGGTTGACAAGCTGTAAAACAATCAAACTATTATTCTTGTCTTTGGTCTTAAATTTTTGTTTATTTCATTGAAGAGGTCAGCAAGTTTGTAGGAAAAAACTTGGTGGCACTAAAGATCTACCAGATACCTGAGGAAGGTTTGAGAACATATCAGCCAAAGTAAAACCAACAAAAATGAGCTTTATAATTTAATTCATAAAACAAATTACTTTTTATTTTTCTAAGAGTGAAAATATATTTAATGAGCTTAGTATAGTCTGGCACAGGGACACAATAGTAGAGTAATACTGTGAGGATCAATGTTCCATTTACTAACCATTTCCCTATATCTAGTGCCCATGAGATATCCGGGTTTCTCTTATATCCGGGTTTGGTCTATTTTATATACATTAACACAGACTCTAATTTGGGACCAGAGAAAATCTCTCTTATATTCGGGTTTCTCTTATATCCGGGTTACACTGTAGTAGGAAAAAGCTGAAAAAAATGTAGGCGGGGGGGGGCATTAATCACAAACAGCATGTTCCTATGACTGAAAGCACTAAGAGTCATACTTTTTTTTTTCTGTTTTACTTTTCTTTTCTTTTTTTTTTTATTTATTGCTGCTTGAAATTTAACTCCTGACAGAAAAAAAAAAACAAACTCTAGTTTCTTTTCCCCCATCTTGGAATGGGAGAAGAAAAAGTATTAATGAATTGTCCAAGCTAAATGATTGCTTTCATTATTATTTCAAAGTGAAACAATTTTTCTTGTAATCTTTCTTACACATTTGTTTTTCAATTATTTATGTCTCATCCTCCATAGCCAAGAAAGCTGGCTTGCTAAGCATTGGTCTATGATTGCAGTCAAATAAGTATTTACTATATTTATCTTAGTCTGGCACAAGTCTACAAAAATGAACACTGTAAGACTCAAGTTTACTACATGAGAATTGGCCAAGTAAGACTGGGTTGGTAAGCACTGTTTTATAATTTGCACTCTTACAAATAAGTAATAAGTCACTCATAAGCATAAGGTTCTGAGAACAGGGCAAATAAATATTAAAATATTAATCTAGGGATCTACATTTTTTAAAATTTTCATTCATTTGTTTGTTTTAATTTATAGAATTGAGTATGTCTTTATTTCTGAATTGAACCAGAACACTGATTCATTCTTTTTCTATGGCTTATTAACACTTTGCAGGTTATTTAAAGACAGAAAATATTTTTAGATTGTAAGAATTTCTTTTGGAGATAACACTGATTTAGTGATACAATTCTTACTAATTAACTCATAGATGGGAGAGAGTAGAGGTGGATTCATATCTAATCAGAATTTGATAAACGAACAAGAAATTATGGGGATATAAAGTAGGGGATCAATTCTATATCACAATCAATATATGAACGGATCCCTCTGTTTATGGCCAGAGTAGTTTCTCTTCATTTACATTCCAGAGAATGTAAATAAATCTAAGTCAGTCCTGTGTAGCTAATCAGTATCTGAGTTATTGATTCATTTTTTTACAGCTTATCAACCCTTTCCAGGTTATTTAAAGAGAGAAAACATTTTTAGATTGTAAGTAGATTTTTTTAAGATAATAATTGAGTAATACAAGTCTTACTAATTAACCCATAGCTGAGGGAGAAGAGGTGGATTCATACCTTTCCCCAAAAGTATTTGTACATCACTGTAATGAATTCAACAGGAATTGGAACCCAGCTATCTGATTAAGAATTTGGATCTATTATCCATTACACCACCCACACATCCTAGCTTACAGCACCTGATATGCACAAACGATCACTCATCAAGGTACTGACCAGTTTCAACATTGCTTAACTTTGGTGTTAATACAGGAACTAATGTTCCAATGTTATATTGCTGTAAGCCTTGAACCAGAACAAAATGGTTCTATATAAGCCAATTATTCACTCTCAAGTCATTTTCTTGGAAAGACTGAGAAATTGTCTTCATTTCCTTTTCATTTAACAGTAATAAACAGCCAACCTCTGGGCATGATAACACCTTGTAAAGAGGTGGGAGAGTGGATGTAAATACAGGCGTGAAGGGGAAAGAAAGAGCAAAAGAAATCAGAAGAGATCAACAAACTTTCATAGGAGGGAGAGAAGTAAGACAGGAGCAAGTAAAAATAGATATGAACAAATCTTAAATAGTTGCAAGTACTTTTTTTTAATTTCTGATTTGTTTATTTCTCTTTCTCTCTGTGTCTCCCTTCCTCCCTCTTGATTTTTAGCTGTTTTATTCAATGTTAAAAACCTGAAGAGTAAAAAAAAAACAAAAAAAAAAAAACAAAGTTTAAAAACAAACTGGATAGAAATAGAAAGAAATTAATGATGAAGGGAGAAAAGAGGAAATGGTTAAAACAATCAAATAAAATAGCTGTAAACATAGTGTAGCCACACGGACAGACAAGAAAATTTAGAGACAGTGATCAGTAAAAAAAAAAAAAGAAGCTGAATTGAAATTCATGTTGGTACAGAGGAAAAAAAAAAACTTCACAAAGCATCAAATCTTTACAGCTTTTCTCCTCAGCACCAGTGAAGACAGAATTAAATCATCTATTAACCTTTAAGATTATGTGTGTGAGAGACAGTGTGGACATAGATATCAACCCTGTATGGTTTGATTGATAGGTTCATTCATGTTTCATGGCATATTATTTAAAGGCAAAAAATATTCTTTTTAGATTGTAAAACTTTTATTGGAGCGAGATAATAATGGTTTAGTGATACAAGTCTTACTAATTTACCCATAGCTGGGAGAAGAGGAGGATTCATACTTTTCCCAAGGTTATTTGCATGTAAGTGAATATAACAAACCCAACTGCAATTGGAACTCAATTGTCTGATTAACAATTCCAGCCATTATCTATAACATCACCCACACATAAAAGCTTTCCCAAGTGGTCATCCATCTAGGTACGGAACGGGCTCAATGCTGCTTAACTTTGGTGAATGTATGGGAACCAGTGTTTCAATATATGGCCATAAGCCACATTGCATTGTGATACAGTTTTATGCTTCAGGCAATCTTTATGCACAGTGGTCTATGAGAAGTTAGGGACAGAGGGAAACCAGTCAGAAAACTTGAACCTTCATGCCTACAAAACAAAAAAAATGGAATATCAAGAGGATAGTTTTTCCTTTGACTCTGCTATTATTTTAACTACCATCACTCCTCAACAATGTTTTCTTTTTAAAATTGATTAGAATTTTAATAAAACCTAAACATGATGAAAGTGAAATAATTCTTTTTCTGCTCTGAGAATTTACAACAAAAATACTAATCACTATTTATTTGAGTATTCACAACATTCTAAAAACTAGTACAATTGTATTAAAACTCATGCAAAGAAACATTTATCATTTACCAATTTATACAGAAATAAATATGAAAACAATTTTCTACTCATGAATTTATAAACATTGATTAAATTATGAAAATATAGGAACTATGAGGAAATCCTTATTTACTATTTTATAAAGTCTGAATTGGTTGACATTTAGCCAATGTTTTGCCAACCATTCTAATAAATAGTGTAAATGAACAATCCAATAATGTTTATTATTTTTGTTGTCAATTCTCAAGAACAAAGAAAATGTACAAATTAACTTTCATATGTTTACAGTTTATTACAATTCTAATCATCACTTTTTAAAACAATACTGTCAAGGAGTGAAGGTAATAATAGTGGTGTCAAGGGAAAAACCATCCTTTTGATACTCTGTTTTGTTTTTGTGGTCATGAAGGTCCAAGTTTGCCAACTAGTCCTTCTTAGTTCTTATTTGTTTTCAGTCATTTATAGTGTTGACTTTTTTGCTTGTTTGTTTTTTTCCTTCTTAATTTCTGAATTTTAATATTTGAAATAAACTTTATTATATTTTGGTCATGGAATGTTATTTAAATTTTGAGCCCTAATGTGGTTGTAGGTAGTGGAATAAGAATCTGCCAATAACCACATCATGATTCAAAACTAAATAACATCACATAATCTAAATCTAATAAATTTTGGTTTTAAATTTTTATATTAGAAACAGATTAGTAAATTAAAATAATAATAATAACTAAAAATAAAGAAAAGTCAAAACTATAAATAATTTAACACATTAACCTAGGTACCTACAAAAATTTGATAAAAATGAGGATATATGCACAAAAAATAAATACAGAAAATATTATAAAAACAACTCTATCAAAACCATTGTTATTTTTAAGATAAGATAAAAGGATTGTTTGATATAAAAAAAAAAATTTTGAAATTTTGGTTATCATTTTTTTATCTTTATTTTTCTGGTGTCAGTGCAGGACCAGAAATGTATACAGAAATTGTTGCAGGTAAACACATTGATTTGGAAATTTTTACATTAAAAATATTACAATTATTAGTATTGCTGCTGTTTTTTTTTTTTTTTTCAGACCCTACATTAACCATATATGAAAGAACTAGGAAGTACTTGTTTCTCCTTTCTTGTAAGCTCCTAATGGCATATATGCAGAGAGATCATGCAAGAAGTAGTGACATGATTTGAAGGCCACTTGTGATGTGAAACAAGCTATTAATATGCAATGTTGATTTCTAACTGATATTAAGCACTCTCCTATAAATATATAGAATTTATATTGTTTTAAAATTTTCTATATGTATTTTATTTGTTTCTTTATTACAAGCAGATACTCTCAACATTGGTAGACCTTGCTTTGACCTATACTCAAAGGAGGCTAAAAGACAATGACTAAAAAAAAAAAAAAAAAAAATGTGTGACACATACTTTGCAATGACCAATGATTTGTTTTTTCTTTCACTAATATTCACACAATACAAGCCAGTGAAGATAACAGATTACTGTGTGGAGTTATATTAACATAGGAAAGGACAAGTGTTTGGAGTACAGAGCTGGAGTAGACTTTAGGAGGAACCAAAAACCCAATACTAAACAGAAAATGAGGGATAAATCTCTACTCCTATTCAAAAGACTGGGGAAGAGTGTGAACTGGATGATAGGCAAACCTATACACTCCTATTGATGGAGGAGAGAAAAAATAATTCAATGAAATAAATGGTGAATAAAATTTCAGATATTAGGAGTACAGAGCTGAAGCAGACTTTAAGATTGGGTTTCTGGTTCCTCCAAAACAGGAAACAAGGGATAAACCTCTACTTTTTTTTGTCTTCCCTTGGCTCTGTTAACATTTACATTATAAACATGACATTTATTATTGTTTCTCTAAATTCAGGGACATGGGTTTCTTGAATTGATTGTGTTGAATGTTTACTTCTGACAAGGAGAAAAGTTGAATTCACAAGGAAACAAACATTTGAAATAAATAACTGTGGATCAGAAAAGCTTTCATGTGTTGACTATATTTGAAATCAATCCTAAATAAACAGTTTTCAAGATGTTCCAAACAAGGAAAGATAAGAAGAAAATTGCAGACGGAAAAAGAGAAGACATTGGGTTTGGGAGATTTCTTGCTAATTCCACATCAAAGGAGAAAAGTATTTGAAGCATGCAGCAAGAAATTTTCAAAGGAATTTTTTGCTTTCTTTTTACAAAGCATTAGAAGAGTAAACTTTCCCTTTGAAATGAATTTGCATAACATCAGAAAATATTTGATCCTGTCATCAGAATATATTTACATAAAGGAATGTATAGAGTAAGAGGGAGGGGGGGTTCTACATTTGCTGTTTCACCATTAGAACATCAGAAAAGAAGAAAATTACTTACATTATATTTTTTGCATTTGAATTTAAAAATTAAATAAATTTAAAATATTTGGCTAATGAAGAGAACAAAAGTCCTGAAATATATGCCAGGATTCAATTAAAAAAACATTTTATACAGTTTTTGCCTATAATTTGATTTTATTGATCATATTTTTGGTTTCAAATACAAAGATATTAATATTTCCATATTTAAAAAACTTTAAAAATTATCCTGGAAATCATAAAGACAGACTTCGATACTGAATTTTAAAAAATTGTCAACAATTTTAAGTTACTTTTTTATATTTCTTATTTTAAATTTATTTTTTTCAGAAAAGTGTGTAATAAATGTATAGATCCGCATATCTGTGTGTGTATATATAAATATATATATATATATATATATATATCCACCATAAACAGATAAATTTTATTTGTATTTTTAATACCACACATGACAATAATTAAAAGGAAAAAATGAAGAACAAGCTATCTATCTTAACAAAAAAAAAAAAAAAAATTGCAATCAATTTGAGGTTCAAAACCAGTTAGCTAGCTCATTTTTCATTTTCCCTTTTAATTATTATCATGTATGGTATTAAAAATACAAATAAAATTTGTCTGTTTAAAATAGTTAAGTTTTTGTATCACTAATAATACTAATAATATATATATATATATATATATATATATATATATATATATATAGTGTGTGTGTGTGTGTGTGTGGAGGCATGGGGGTAATGGATTGCAGCTCAGATTGAGGAATTGGAGAGCAGAGTTTGAATTCATTACATTCATTTACATACTAATATGCTTGGGAAAAGTATGAATCCATTTCTTTTACATCCTGGCTATTGGGTAAATAGCAGAACAAACTTGGTTCTATAGCCTTGGGTAAAAAACCAGTCTAGGAAAAAAAAAATTCTGAATTCAAACCATTCTAGAGTTTTGCTATTACACAATATGTGTGGACTGGTATGCAAGTCATGAGCGGGACTGGAGTACCACATATGACACAAACATTGGATCCTCAATAAAATCTCATCTGAGTAATTTCAAGAAAGTAGTTGAATGCACAGATGTGCACTTTCACAAAACAAGTGTACTACTTTGATAATAATTGCCAGAGAGTCATCTAATAATATTCAGAAAAAAAATTGTTCTTAGATGTTCTGGTCAATTTTATGCTATAAAATATTTTCTTTAAGAGTGGGGTCAGGGAACCAGGAAAGATATTTTGCTGACTTCAATTATGAACACCAAACCAACCACATGTAAATATAGACAGGTGTCAATTATTATTTAAGCAGAACCGATTCCAGCTTTGCAGCTTTTGGGTGTTTGTTTTAGTTCTGTGTTTCAATTGTAAATCGTGTTGCCAAAAGAAGCAAGCCTCACTAAATCAACAAACGCAATGGAGAGTGGGGTCAATGCTGTCACTTGGAGAAAAGTTGCTTGACTTGTTCTCTGAGTATGAACAAGTGCTTGCTGAAAAAGGGTGAAAGCAATGTCTTGTGGGTATTAAGGAGCAGTAGAGAAGGAAAGAGTATGGGCAGGGGCAAAAATTACAGAAATAACTGCATTTTTCCTAATATTAAAGAAATTCTTTGAAAACTGTCTTCAAGATAAAAATTCATGGTTAACTCCAAAATTACCATTTTTTTTTTTTTTTTTTAAACTAAAGGATTAGTTTTAGATTATTAAACAAAAAAATATTTCTTTTTCAATTCTTGAAAAAGAAATATTTTTTTTATTTTTAATTAATTTTAGTTGAAGTTTTAGATGCTAGGACAGTTTCAGTGTTTCCAGAAACGACTCTAATAATCTAACCTAATCTTTTTAGTAAAAAAAAAAAAAAACTTTTCTATTATTGATAGCCAATTTTTTCTTATTTCATGCTCCAAATGAAGCAGCACAATTATTGAAAAACAAGAACAAAAAAAAAAAGAATCTTAAAAACTTACTGTAGAATATTGGTTAGCTTGACTTCTACACTTACGAACAAAGCTAATTCAATTATTCTATGAGTAAATAACTTAGATCAGCTCAATTTTCTTTAGCCTCAGTTTCATTTAGAAAGCAGCCAAGATCCAAAAAGTAGAGATCACTTTTTTTACCTTAGCTCATAACTCATTAGAAACCATCAAGAATTACAAAAAATTATAATCATCTTTATTAATTCTTTCAGACCTGATATCAAAAGACATTCTTGTTATCTCTGCATCTCTCAACAGCATGCAAGTTATTTAGCATTTTCTAAATTTGTCCCAGCAATTT